TCTTTAACCTATGCATGACGTTAATGTTAGTGTGAGATTATTTCAGTAAAATGTTTTTAGCCACTTTATTGAGTTTCCAGTGAAAGTTTGTGCACAGTCAATAAAAATAAAGTGAGCATCCCAGTCTTCCAAAGCGAACAGCAAGGTGACTATCATACATTTGTGATTATACTATTTCAATGTAAACTGATTTTATTAGAAGAGAGATTATGCGCATTAGGAATGTTTTTTTTTTGCTGTTGTCATGGTAACAGGAAGCTCAAAACCCTGGCAACAGCTGTTGTTATCACAGCCTTTGAACAGCTGGAGGGCTATTGTTGGCAAGACATTGTGGGCAGTGACTGTGTCCGCCAGTTCGTGCCTTGGTATGGCCGAAGCTGAGATTTGTGGATTTGGTAGCTCAAGCAGTGTGTAACGACCGTGATGTGAGGCAAAGAGATAGATGTGGTTGGAAAACTGAGTCATAGTTCTACAGTTCTGCTTTGTACACCAGGACAAATGTTATTCCTCAACTTTTTGCTCAAAACTAGTTATCATGTATATTCTGAAAATTGTGTGACTTATCAGAGAGAATCTTTACAAATTGTGTGCTCAAAAAAAGTTGTTTAATTATTCCATGTACTTCCACTTAATCAAATAGAACAAGCCAAATGACGTCAGCCTTTACAGCTTTACTAGTGCTACCATGAAATGAACATTCTTGGGTGAACTCAGAAACGAAATTCAGAACTCTCTGGCCTGAAAACTGAAACCATAATCTGAAACAAAAACAGACAATAAATAAAATCAGGATAAAATTATTACAGTATGTGCCACAAAATCCAACATCCTGGACAACAGAGAACAGCTGGTCATCCAAGGCAATACATTCCATAATTTTTTGGTTAGATTTTGCACTGTTGTTTGTGAGCTTTTTCTTCATTTGAAAAAAAAAAAAACTGATGGCATTAGCATGCTAGCAAGGACTTTTTTTCTTCTCTACTTCTGTAATTTTTATATATTTTGCATGTCAAGCAGGATGTTGTGTTTTCAAATGGTATCACACTTATAGTGGGGAAGTTCCACCTCTTGATACCTGCTGTGAACAGTGATTACAAAACCTTGTGTAAAAGTGACAGTTTCACACAGCTGACATTTTCTTTGTTTATTTGCTGCTGCTTAAACTGTTTGAATGCATCTGTGCTGACCGACACAGGAAAGTGAAGGGAACAAATTTCGTTCTTATTCCCTGTATCATTATCATTACTGTTACAACTATTTGTAAAGTCTTAGATTTTAACACGTAGTTTTAAACCTTTCTTCTCTTTTGGCTCTTTCAGTTTTCAGTGGCCTCCCTATTTGTTACCTCAATATAAAATACAATTGACCTGTCTGTACCCCACCCACAATTGCATTCTTTCATAGCAACTGTTGTGAGGTTGGGCAAGCTTTACAGAATGCTGGTAAAATCCCATTCAGTCTAATGTAAAAGAGTTTTTAGTCATAGCACAGTTGTGGTTTCTGTAATCTGTTGTAGTTAATCAAATCTGCCACCATGCTAACATTGGCTTGATCACACAACAACACACGACATGCAGTTTGTACTAACAGTGTCATCTTTCACATGCATATAAAATAAATGTCATTTCAAATCTAATATAACTCACTGTAAATTTAGCCATTTTGCCAAAAAGTGAGTTGTAATGTGTCATTAGGTAGATTTGGATTTTGTCAGCGTTTGACAAAGTTTGTCTGACTTGGCAACATGGATAGCATGAACAACTCAGGTGCAACTAATATGAATATATTTTCAGTTTGTAACTGAATCGACTCTCTTGGTTAATTTTTCGAGTGTGTGTTCCTCTGAAAATGGACTGAGCAGAGGCAAGTGCGGAGGGGAAATGCAAATGGATGTCCTCCTACTGATCGACTTAATGAAGAATTTCTGAATTTCTGGCAAATAGCAAAGACTTTGTGTGCCCCTGAGCTTCAGTGCAAATTGAGGAGAATTCCAGGAAGAGGAGAGAACTGGACAGAGACAGAGTGAGACCAGGATTGTGAGCTTGAAAACTGTGGAGCTCCTTGTGTTTTAGGGGAACAGGGTACCACATAACTCTGCTTGCTCTGTATATTTGAATGACAGGAGGGGGTAACTCACTAATCTGCTTTTTCTCAGTGTATTGCATAAATGTGTGCTGGTACTGGTGGTGGTGCATGTTGGAGGGGTTCCCGAAACCTCCCAGTGTGGCTTTTCAATGAGGGGTAGAAAGTTAAACACACCTCTGCTGTGTTTGTGTGAGTATAGGGGGCACCAGGAGACCATCCTGCATGGTATGCAGTGTGTGCTAAGAGTGGGTGAACTGAAATTCATATTATGGTTTGGGCAATAATGGTATGATTTCATGGTAAATAAACAAATAAATAGCCAGCTCTTCGAAGTCAATGTATAAATAAACTTCATAAAACCAAATGTGGAGAAACAACAAAAAACGTTTAATTCTTTTATAGTGCTAATGATAACTGTCGTACTTTATTTGCTTCTTAGCTTTATGGTTTTCAGGCAGTGCTGATCATCTACAGTACTGAGCAAAATTCACAGACCAACCTTAATTTATTTAATTTCCAGTCAAAATGGCCATTAAGTCCCTTTATTGTCATTATACTTATACACTTTGCAGTACAACAAAGCTCTTTCTTTTGCGTATCCCAGCTTACAAAGCTGGGGTCAGTCATGGTATGATCCACTTTCATAAGGAAACTAGTAAGGACCGTGCAAGATACTGGTAGACCACCAAAACTGACCCCATCAGATAAAGAGTACTTAAAGGTTTTATCTTTGAGTGAGAGGAGAAAATCAAGCTCCACTCTTACTTCAGATCTGAAAAATCCACAGGTGTTTCTGTCCATCCTTCCACTGTGAGAAGACAACTCAGCACTATGAGTCTGATAAGATGTGAAGCTGTCAAGGAGCTCTTACTGAGAAAAAAAAGGAGAAAATTTGAACAATGTACCGTCCACCCCAGAGTCCAGACCTCAACATCACTGAATGTGTTTGGGATTACTTGGATTGTGAAGCAGAAAATGCAACCAACTTCGGAACTTTGGATGTGTGGAAGAATAGCCCTAAATTTCCATGAAAACTAAAAACAACTCTCTCAAAAAGAATGGAAGCTGTAATAAGGGTAAAGCGTGGACACATTAAACAATGAAAACTGTAATATTATATTTAATTGCTGAGACTTTCTGTTGCTGAAAAATGAATAAGTTGTGCTTGATGGCCATTTTGACTGGAAATTAAGTAAATGAAGGGTGGTCTCTGACTTTCGCACAGTATATAATGGTATAATGATATTAGTTTTAGCCAAGTTTGTTGTTTTTTTAGTTTTAGTGGTATTGATACATAACAAAAACTTTAACTCTTTAAATAAATAAATAAATAAATAAATAAACTGTTTCTTTCCTCACAATCAGTTTCAGTGTGGCTAACATTTATAATACTGCATAAGGTACTGTTTAGTGCAGTCTCGAAGCAAGCTGTGTCTGGTTAGTAAAATTTTACCAAGAATTACCAAGAATCTTTACCAAGAATCAACAGTACACAAAGGGTTTGCTAACTTTATTAATAAAAGCCTGAATACTATCTGAGACTGTGAGATACTTGGAAAATATTGTGATATAGAAACGTATTAATACCACCCAGCAACACTTTCAGAAGGTAAAAAACGCTAATGTTTCCACTTTTAGCTGAAGATATAATGATCAAATCCACAATGTCCTGGATTATAGTAGTGTTCTCTTTGTACTGGTAAACCTCCCCTCCTAATTCATGCATGCATGTATGTGTGTTTGAAGGTGTGGGTTCCCTCTTGTGTGTGTATAAAGGGCCTGCGTGTTTGCGCAGGGGCCCGGCTGGACTCTGGCTGGCTGTGTGGGCAGATGTGGTAGTGTGCTGCGGCAGGAATGCTAATGCTTCCTCTGAGGTTAGCGAGGAACAGCGCGATTAGCCCTCCGGCCCCCGGGGGGAGCCGCTGCGCGCTCTAAGCTTTAATTCATATTGACGTCAACAGGAAGCCGGACGATTTCTCGGGGGAAAATGGGAGGTGGGCCGGGGGGGTGGTCGGCCAGTGGGGTCTGGGGGCTCTGTAGCTTAAGGAGGCTGCAGGAGGGATTAGCCGGTGCTAAAATGTTTTCTTTGTAGTTTGGAAGAAACCCGAGGAAGGTTCTCCATGAACCTCCCAGCGTCACTGACCCAAAGAGGGGGATGGGGGCGGGGTGGGCCGTTATAATCGGCATTCCGCCTTTCTCAGCCCATCTCTGTGTTCCCCTTTTGCCTCACATACACAGCTCCCATTGAGGCCTTGCACACAGACCTCACACACACACTCTATTCCTTTATTTTTCTGGCAAGTCAGTAGCCAATGGGTAATCACAGAGCGTAAATGGAGTGTCCCACCCGTTGTCCCAACCTGGATCATTCAGCACCATTTAAAATAGTTAAAATGTTTATCTGATAATCAGTATAGATTAAACTTTAGGCTTATTATTCTGTTATTAGTCTTAAGGCTTAGTATCCAGTAACATCACAGCACTTTCACATTATTAATGACATTATCCAACACAACAAACCTACCAGTACAGTAACTAAACCAGTTGTGCACAAGATCAAGATCATGTTGATGACTATGGGACTCCTTGACTCCTAGGCCTATTATTTAGTTAAGAGTTATTATTCAGTCCCTATGAATTACTCAACTGACTGAACTACAGTCAGACTAATATGTAAGTTATGTAGCTAACAGAATTTAAAGAAATAGTTGAAAGCTAAAGTTGCTAACAATGAATAGTAGTAAGCCAGATGTGATGTGAATAATGATGATCAGTGACTTTTCACATTCATTCACTAGCAGCAAAGATAGTGTTATTGACTGAATCTTTCCTTTGAGGGGTTAATACCATTGTCCAACTCATCTAATACACTTGTCCAGTTTATTTAACTGCTGCATTGTCTTGTTGTGTTGCAGACTATCAGAAAGAGGACCACAGTGTATCGGGTGGAGCTGACTGGAACATTTAAATGCTCTAATGCTGAGGACAAAATATCTGTAAGTTTTGCAGTGATTTTTTTTCTCCTATTTAATTATCCTGGTCTCATGTAACTACAGCTTCGTTGTAGAATCATGTTTTGACTGTTTAAAGCTCTTAATGGACGTGCTGTCTGTTACATTATCATATAGAAAAGTTATGTGTTTGTACATAAAATTACATGTTTTGTTGAAATAAGTGAAACACATCCTCTACAGGGAATGCACTTAAATATGGCACTTTCCTGCAAATCGTAGTGCATAATTTCTATGTATTTGCTGAGTTTAACAAATTGGAAAACAATAAAACATACAATATAAAATGTGCCATAACTTTTGCACAGGCTACAGTTTGTTTCTTTTTGTTTGTTTGTCTGTTTTTTTCTCCCTCTACATTAAATTCAGCAAATAAACAGCAGCTGTGCATTACAAATGTGTAGAAGTGTGTTCTCTGCAGATGATGTAAACTCATTTTCACATAGTAAATTATCAAAACATGTAATTTGACCAGGGGTGCCCAACTTTTGCACTGTTCCTATCTGCTCAATCTATTAGAACCTCTACATCTTTGAGGTCGTCTGATTAGCCTCTTATGAGCTTTCCCTGGTCTCGGTTATCAGAATAGCTTTACCAGACTAATTTGGCTATGAATACATAGAAGCTAGCAGCTAGCAATTAGCATGATATGCTAATTGTTGGCTGCCTATTTTCATTTAATTTTTACCAGGGATACACTGATATGGCAATTGTGGTATGTTTTTCATGTCCATATGCCAGGTATGATACCAATGCCAATGCATAAACATATATAGAATGTAGAAACTGGGACTAGCTTTAGCCAGAACAGCATTGCAGAGAATGTATCATTTATTTCTACAGGGTTATAAATGAGGTAAAATGAATAAAATGCAAACATTTTAGCACAGTAGGCCAGCGTCGCCTACATGTCCTGCTCTTCCAGAGCATAAGAAATATGTCATCAAATATCGGTTGGAAATGTGGGTCTAATCTAAACATCTGCTCAATGCAGATCAGTTTTTAAGCACTCCTCTGCTGAGACTGATACACATTCCTAATTATTAATAGGATTAGCCTAAACTATTGACACAAACACAAAAAGTATCTTCTTTCCTCTTTGTTAAGTCAAAATCCAATACCTGTTTTTAACCATTAGTATATGGAAACAACTGAATGTTTGGTGAAATAACTTTATTTGATCTGTTTTGTGACATGTTGTTTTAAGGCCATAAAGCATTTAAAGGCTATAAGAGCTTTTGATTGTTTTGAAGTGCTAAGCAAAGAAAACTGATTATATACAGTCAGTACATGGTGAGTGACAAAGCCCCCCCTTCCAAAAAAAAAAAAATCAGTTGGTTATTTATTTTGTACAAAGAATTTCACGGTGCCTGACTTGCCACCGTATTCACTTCAGACGTGTTGACGGCATTGTGAGTGAGTTGGATGACTTTTGTGGCCTCCGTGCAGAGATATGAAACGTAGCTGGAAGTGGCAATCCTTCCATTACAGTATCTCTCTCAAGCTCTTCCTTGCTGGTTTAGTAGCAATTGGGCCTTGATAGATGAACGGCAAATTTCAGGTGGAGCACTTGCTGTTCTTTTCCAATCACTCCAGCTGCGTTGCTTAAGCGTTTATTTCCTCACTTTAATAGCTCTTTTTTTGGTCGCGTCCTTATAGAATGCAAATTCGTTCAAAAACACAATTTGGTGCCTTTTAATGGTTCGGCGGCTCGGGATGCAATTGCCTGCGCCGTGGATGAGTGAGAGAGGGCAAGGCTGGGGGTGTGAGAGTGTGCGAGTGTGCAGCGACGGCAGAACGAAGCAAGGTTAACTCTCAGCTTTTTAAAGGGGGTAAAAGACAGGCAAGGCTCTTTAATTGAGTGTGAAAGCAGCTGGGTGTTGGGAGCCATTTCCCCCCCTCCGCAAGCCCGACAAGCGACTGTCTCAATATCCTCTCGGCTCTAATCGCTCGCTCAGCGCCCGCCACCCCGTCTCTCCCTCCTCTCTCCCTCCCTCTCTCCCTCTCTCTCGCTCTGTCTCCCCGAGCCCTGCGCCCTGCCGAGGATTGTTTTACGCTTAATTTTGTTAAACCTAACGAGATTTTGCTAATTAAATCTCCCCCTGGCTGGAAATCTCTCGCTCCTGTCGGGAGAAGTGATTGTTTGTAGATCTTTTTAGACAAATAAACATTTTCATCGCGAAAGCGTGGGGTGAGAGAAACACTTCCCGCTTTCCATTCTTCTTGCTACAATCAGATAGAGGCCTGATACGCTCGTGTTCGCTTACATGGCCCTCAGATAAGCCCCTGTTATTAGTATTTTTCCACACTTCTAAGATTTAAGATGTTTTCCTACTGCTTCATCGCTGGGATTTTAATGGAACATGTAACATTACAGTGAAAAAGTAAACATCAGTAAACCAGCCCTGTGGACAGATCAGTTAAAAGCATGGCTGGAGGCCAGATGTACTCGTTGGAGGGGATGGATGGCAGGGTCCGTCTGTCCAGCAACGTCAAAGGCTTAGCACAGCTTCGTTGGCCTCCTGGTCATTTCAGAATCCAGTATAAGGTTTGACTAAAGCAGCTTCACCATGGTAAAATCACTGTAATGCACAGGCCTGAGTGGTTTATTGCTTGTTTAATTTGGCGACATAATACATTATGATACAATACACAAATTTTAAATAAAAAAATACATGCATGCACCGTGACTTTCCATTGGCTGGACAGGTTGTAAGTTGGACTTTGGGTGCATTAAACACCACTTCAGTTCATGCACATTCCATAGAAACAGTGCACAACAACTAAATTTGGATTTCCCTCTAAAAAACAATTGCCTAGATTTTTTAGGTCATTAAATCCAGACAAGTGAAAAATTATTTCAACAAGATGACTTCAACTCTACACAGGGCAAAAACAGAAAACTGCACTGTTTTATAAAGCTTAATTTTTTATATAACTGATTTTACTGTCGGCAAAGTCAAAAGGTCAATTTGGTAGATGTCTTCTTTTGAGAACCCTCATCAACAATAATTATAAATAGTGGCCATTATAAAAATTCTAACTGACATCATTTGTCTGCTGCCTGCTAAAAGGTCTGTTCTGGTTCATAAAGCTTCATATTGGTGCGTCCTGCTTTAGACTTTGTGAGCAGCTGTCAGCACTTTTGTCAGTTCATACAAATCAGCCTGTCCTGTGAGTTTTAAAAGGCTTTCAATTCATACAGAAAAATGGGAAATGATTGTTTTAGTTACCAATTATGGTGAATAACCTATTTTCACATTTTTGCACCTATTGATCGGAAACTATTGAAGAACAAAATCATATATGCGAAAATGAGACCAACTTTACTGCTCACAAGACTGTTTTCACATTTATTCCTCTGTTGCAAATTATTCTTGTTAGTTCATGTTAGCTCGCCTCAACATGTGAGCAAACTGTAGAATTGTATGTGGCAAAAAATTTAAATAAGAGAGCTTAATTCCAGTTTGCTGAAGCAGAATCGGGCAATATGTAAAATAAGAGGAAACACCTGATTCAGATATGCTCAGGAAAATGCTGCAGATCTTAGTTCCACCAATAAACGTATTTACTTAAATTTCTATTGGCCAAATACAAGACTGTGAACTCCTGAACTGCTACTTGTGAGGGGGCTTGTTCTCCTGCTGGCAGAGCCAACCCCTTCCCAAAGAAAAAAAAAAAAAAACTCCTTAAGTCTACATGACTGTTGTAACATATTATCATTCAAAATGGCAAATTTCAATGAAAGGCCAATGTTTGCATGCATGCATGCATCCAGTAATCACCTTATTTTGTTAATGTACCCATAATCTGATTACTGTCTTTTTACTGTAACAGTTACTTTTTTTACACAGTCAATTACGTAATCCTGTTACATGCATTCTGTGACTGACCAAACCCTGGACATTAGCATATGGCTCAACATTGGTTCTAAAGTGCTGTACAGATTTTACTTGCGTACTTACTCTGTTTGTCCCTGTGAAAAGTAGCAGTAGCAGGTAGCATTGGCTGTGTTCTTTGGTGGCAGGCTTCATTAATGTTAGCTTGCCTTTTTCCAATGAGATTAGCACTAACTTTGCATGAAAAGGAGCCCTGGCATCATGCACTTGAAAGAAAATTAGGAAATAATGCTTCAAAGATATTGCAACAGTGGAAAAGTTGGACAATTGTCAGCTAGTAAATGTCTTTGTTATTCCAGAGAGAGCTGAGACTGCACTCACTCGGTGAAGAGGCCGTATTGTCATTTATATAAGGCAACCACTGGTGTATGAATATGTATGGGTGTAGCTGAGTTTGTGCATGTTGTGTTTTGTTGTGTGTGGGGAAGTGGCGCTGGGTGGGTCTGCTCCATTGAGCTCTCCCAATGAGAGGCCTTGAAAGCATTGTTGACTGCAGGCAGTGGGCTGCTATTGTGGATTCCCCCTCGGGACACTGTTATTGTGGGACTCCAACCTTATGTTTCCCGTTTGGACTAAGGATGACTGGTGCCAAGGCGCTTTGCTTTCTCTTTTTCTTTCTCTCTCTCTCTCTCTCTCTCTCTCTCTCTCTCTCTCTCTCTCTCTCTCTCTCACACACACACACACACACACACACACACACACACACACACGCATGCCCCCCACTAATCCTACTCCCCAGCACACACAAACTCACTCATACTCATACTGCACACACACATACACACAGCCTGGCAGTGTGCTTGCCTTGTGGTGGACTGTTGGGCATTATGCCCAGTCTCTTGTGAAAGGTGCCCTCTGATTCTGCCCCCTCTGATCAGGTTTCTGCCACCTGTTGCCCCGTACCGGGAGGGCTGAGGGGGTCCGCAGAGATGCCCTGGCATCTGGCACCATTAGACTGCACACCAACACTCCAAATACCACCCTGGACCCACTATTCAAATCTCTGCATTCATGAAGCTTCTCTTGCAGAGTTTTGTGAGTTTACCAGTTTGCATTTGACACTAATGTACTCTGAGTTGACTCTCT